ACCTTTTTTGAGGACCCAAGATGCATCAACTTACAAAGTTTTATGATCATAGGCCTTAAAATGTCCAAATTATGCCTCTAAAACACTTTGAAATCGAATGCCTGCAAAGTTCAAACATAGGTAATCAGAGATTACAGAGCTCACCTCAACGAATGTTGTCTTTAAGTAAGGCAAAGTCCCACACTAAACTAATAATCTAGGAATGTGCATCCCTAGATGCAACATTTATGCAATTTTGGTCTGATAGGGCTTGCAGTTACTTGGGAATGGACTTATCTGAAAACTTAAAACTAGTCACTCATTCAGAAAATGTAAGTCAAATCCAGCATCCCAAGCAAGTTTTGAGATTGTTCGTCCCTTGATGCATCATCCATGTAAGTTTGGTTCAGATAGGCCTTAAAGTTACTTGGAAATGAGATCTGCTCCAAAAACTTTAATCTGGTCACTCATCCGGAAAATATAGGTCAGATTCAGCATCTGAAGCAAGTTCAGTAGTGTGCATCCTTAAATGTATCATCCATGCAAGTTTGGTCAATATAGGGCTTTTAGTTACTTGGAAATGAGATCTGCTCCAAAAACTTTAACCTGGTCACTCATCCGGAAGATATAGGTCAGATCCAGCATCCGAAGCAAGTCAAGTAGTGTGCATCCTTAGATGTATCATCCATGCAAGTTTGGTCAATATAGGGCTTATAGTTACTTGGAAATGAGATCTACTCCAAAAACCTTAACCTAGTCACTCATCCGGAAAATGTAGGTCAGATCCAGCATCCGAAGCAAGTTCAGTAGTGTGCATTCTTAGATGTATCATCCATGCAAGTTTGGTCAATATAGGGCATATAGTTACTTGGAAATGAGACCTGCTCCAAAAACTTTAACCTGCTCCAAAAACTTTAACCTGCTCCAAAAACATTAACCTGGTCATTCTTTAGCTGAAATTGCAGCATCTGAAACCTTGACTGGTACAATGAAACACACTAGAAGCATCCTCCATGCATGTCTGACTAATATAGGCCATAGAAGTACTTGAAAAGAAAACTGCTCCAAAAACCTTAACCTGGGACGCCGACGCCGACACCGACGCCGACGCCGAGGGTATTACATAAGCTCCCCCAACTTCGTTGAGGTGAGCTAAAAAGTAGGTCACTGTGACCTACTTTTTAATAAATATGTTTTATGGCCCCAAGATGCATCATCTTACAAGATTTCATGATTCTAAACCTCTCGGTATTCGAATTAATGACCTTAATTGTTTTGAAAAAGATTAGCCATAAAGTTCAAAAAGTAGGTCAAGGTGACCTACTTTTCAGTTGAGTCAGACGTACTTCGAGGACCCAAGATACATCAACTGACAAAGTTTGGAGATCATAGGCTTAAACTGTTCAAAATATGCCTCTAAATCATTTTGAAAAAGAATGGCCGCAAAATTTAAAAAGTAGGTCACCGTGACCTAATTTTGAGTCAACGTGATATGAGGTCCTTAGATGCATCAACTGACAAGATTTGATGATCCTAGTCCTTATAGTAAGCAAAATATCAACATTTTAATAAATTGTAATTTTTGGTCAACTTTGAAGTGACCTTGAGACCACGCCCTTTGCCCCAGGGTAAATCCCCGTGCAAATTTTAATCTACAACATATCCTCATCCTTTTGTGTAAGTTTGGTGATAATCTGCCCAGTGGTTCTTGAGAAGAAGATTTTTTAGCAACCAGTACTTTTGGTTCTATTTTCCTAATTATCTCTCCTTGTTTAAGGGTCACAACCCTAGTTTTAGTACAAAAGGGAGCCCTTGGGCCAAGGATACCCTGTGACAAATTTGACAATAATTGGCCAAGAGGTTCTTGAGTTATGGCCCATATTCTAAAAAGTTTACGCACACCGCACAAATGGCCATAGCATTAGCTCTTTGAGCCTTTGGCTCAGAAGAGCTAAAAATGTCAGCAACACATCTGATGTCAACCTATATGCAAGAAGGGGGAAAAATTGAACATATAAAGCTGCCATATTATGTTCCCAAATAATGAAAATGAATGCAATAATCTCATTTTAAGTATTTAAAAATATAACTTTTGTACTATTTCACTTGAATATTGGGTATGTCTTGATCCTCTATAATTCATACTTGGTCAAGTTCATATGTAGGTGATGATGGCACTTATCATGTCCTATCTTGATGACACTCTAAATTAAAAAGATAACAAAATTCTTATCTGGACAAGCTTTCTTGTCCACCACAACAAAAATAAATATTTTGAACTGAGACCTCCGGTCAAAGTCCATGGCATATGTGGGGCATGACTCAAAGGTCACTGTCTTGTGATATACCCACATGCCTTATATTATTTAGATGTTAAAATTAAAATAAGAAAAAAAGTTTTTCTGCAGCATAAACTAGAAATTTGACTCCGAGATCAAAGGTCTAGGTCATGTACTAGGTCATAATGGTATTTGGTATTGTCTTACGAGTTATGATGATTGATGCAAAATACCAAGGGTCTAAATAAATGTAAAAATAAGGCTATGGCCTAAGCAGACGTCATTTCTGCAACAATACCATAGATAAATTTAAAAAAAACAAAAAAACCCAGCAGGATTTATTTTTTAAAAAAAATTACTCTAACAGAAGACTATTTATCACACTTCCAATACCAAGTGAAAACAAATCACTACAACTATACTGTAAAATATCAGAAACTATTTGCGACATTTAGTGATCGATCGCCTTATCCACCCTCTGTCTGTCTGTCTGACTGTTCATCTGTCACATCTTACATTTTGATAACTGTAAGAGGCATGGATTTGATATATTTTACACATTTATTGCTTGGCACTATGGCTTTTGTTAAATACCATGGTAACTCATCTCATGACCCATAAACTTGACTTCAACCTGATTTTCAAAATAGTTCATTGTGCTTATATACAGCATATTTTTGAAATTTTTAAAAGAGGTAAGTCTATGCTATTTACCATGTACACTGTTTGTCATAAAACACTACAAAAAATACCAGCATTACAGTCCACTTGACCTTGACCTTTGACATACTTTGCAAAAAATTCTCTGGACAGTTTAATTTAAGTCTTTTGAATTTTGAGAGGTAAGGTTTTGATAACTTGCATTACTTTACAGATGTTTACCATGTTTACGAGCTCATATCACACGTACTGTACTTTGAAACTGTTTGATATACAGTTACAGCACAAACTGATATTTTTAAAATACTATGAAAATACAATGGAATCAGTATTCTTCAATGAATTGTGTAGACTGACAAAATAGTTCTTACTTGCAGTACAGACAGCCTAACATATCTTTGGACTTTCCAAAAGATGTATTAAAAAAAAAAAGATAAATAAACCATAATATTTCGATCTCTTTGACAGATTCTATCTCAGTCTAATAATTATATTCAGGGATTTTTTTTTTCAGGCAAATAAAGAATGATCAACTACACTATTCCAGAAGCAAATAGATAGCTGACCACTCTTTATATATCTTTAATGAAGCTACAAAGCAGGTGACACATGCATTCCCTGGAACTCTTTAGTATTCCTTCTTTCTAGAAAATTCTTTCATTAGGCCTAAATGATAGAACTTTTGGGTAGACTTTACTTTACCGGTCCCCAGATCCGCAAGATCCGCGCGCTCATTGCACTATGACGTAAGATTTACGTCACTCAACTGATTAGGGTTGGTTTTGCACATTTTTCGACTGGTTAGGGTTAGTCTTGCACCCACCTGAAAGATTAGGGTTAGTCCTTGCATAAGTTTTCGACTGATTAGGGTTAGTCTCGCATATATCCGAGAGATTAGGGTTAGTCCTCGCACATGGGTTAGTCTAGCATGGTCTAGCATCCGCCTGGGAGATTTGGGTTAGTCCTCGCATACCATCCGAGAGATAAGGGTTAGTGTCTTGTTCTTTTAGATTAATTAAGAAATTCAGTTGCATCTGTATTTTTTGCAAGATCTTAATTCAGCTTCAACGACATCTCGTTGGTTTGTTTACATGAAAAAAATGGCTAAGTACGAAAGAAACGGCACTAAGCATGCGCCGCACGCGCTTCATTCACAATTATTTTTTGTCTCCTTTTCACTGAATAAACAACATTTATTACTTTTTTTCAGAAAACGAGGTTAAAAACTTCGTTTATAAACGAAGTTTTAAACTAAACATTTAACCGTAAAATTCGAATTTGGGGTCAAAGAGGCTTAAAACCTCATATTTTTTATTTTTTTCGATCGCTCACGCGATCTCATATATATTGAAGTCGCCTACGGCGACACTATATTTTAGCGCGTTTTTCTGGGGACCGGTAAAGTAAAGTCGTTCCGAACTTTTTAATATAATCTAAAGACATCAAATAATCTTTGCATACACAATCTTGCAGTGTACAATCGGAGACAATAACAAACAACATTAAATAAATTTGATGTCTCTGGTACATAAATTAACTTGATTTACTGCTTCATAAAATATTTGTTATAGAACAGTAGATATCTTTGATACTACATGTAAGTAGACAGACCACCCCAATCTTTCCCCATGACAACTATTGTATAAAACCATACCTGAGGAACAGGTACTAATGCTGTCCTGGAAATCACACTTAGAACTCATGTTATTACTACAAATCCACTATATTCCTCATATATGTCACACTCAACAGATAGAAGTTCACAAAAATGTCGCATTACTCTATTCTTTACGTAATTAAATAGATTTTTGTGGTTATGTAACAAAAATCCTAACGAGATAAGGTGCTGTACAATAGAAATGTAAATGATCAAATATTGACAAAAGTTGTGAAAAACAAAATGTCAACTGTGTTTTCCCATCGGCCATGTTCATATACCTGGCCGACCAGTACTTAGAGGCCATGTTAGCCAGTGGTCAGTTCAGATCTCGTGACTTTTGCAGCGATGAGCGGTAGGGTCAAAACAGTGCAGTCAATCATTTAACAATTATATCTTTCATTAAAGCATAATCTGTTAATTACCTAAGCATTGTTCATCTTTTGCGGAATGTATCCACTTTCCTTTAGCCTAGTAATACCATCAACAACATACTTAGTGACCTTGACCGCACGTGTGGAATTCCTCGGGTGTTATCATCGCCGCAATGGAAAACATTAAAATGGGCAGTGAACTGATTATGGGTTTTAGAGGCAATAGATGACATTTTATTATATCTATTTCACATAGGTTTTGAGTTTAGAACAGGTACACTTGAGCTAACAATAATAACAGAGGCACAAGGGCGGATCTACTTAATACCTCACGTGAACTTAAAATTAATTAAAGTAGACACGTGTCCTGTTTAAAACGTGCCAAATTAGTGCAGAAGTACTGCTATTCTTTTGCGTTGTTACTCACATATTTTGTTTTTTTAAAGTTGACACAATACGTAAAATAAAGATTAATTAGTCCACAACCAGTACGATTCAATTGTTTATTTTAACAGCTGATTAAACATGGAAGGAAATTATTAGATCTATTATACTGTGAACCAGTATTTCCCCCCTTTTCGTTTTTTTTCTTTCTTTTTTTTCAGAAAACCATCCTTTTGTACAGACTCCTTACATGTTGATATCGATACCCTACTTTCTGCTCGAGAACCACAGTCCTTACTCTCTCGACCCCCCCCCCCCCCCCCCACCAAAAAAAAAAATAATAATAAGTATAACCCTCTCTTCTCCTGTTTGGAGTTGTCAATGAAATGATATTTTGTATATTTTGTTTTTTCTCGGATAATCCGTATTTATTAGGGTTTTTTTCTAGTTGTTGATAATCCTAATCTCGGCTTATTTTCTGTTTGGCTGCATGGATACTTCATCGGAGAAGGCGCCATGCAGTCGTCAGTCCGAATGTTCCATCCAGCGGCCAAGGCCAAGCTGAATTTTTGATAATTAATGCTTCAATAGAATTACCCCCCTCCCCCCTTTCCAAACTGGTAGGCATATCAGTAGTTTTAAAGATTAACGAGTTTTCAAGAGATAAATATATTATTTATTAATTTCTACATTTAGACATCAGGTTCATTTATTTATCAAAATCCATTATTGTTTATTCAAATGAAAATGCTATAAATTTTCACTGGTAAAACTTGAGACTCGTCTTTAATCTTTGAATATATAAAGAAAGAAAGAGTAACCTACGAAAAAAATAAAAGAATCAAAACAAAAGTAAACACACACATACACAAAAAAACACCCTCAATAATTATAACAAAAGTAAAATTAAAAAAATTCTAAAACAACGAAGACCTGAAGAAGAAAAAAAAACTGTACTTGCATACCAAGACAAGGAGCTTTGCACAAATAAGTATATTATGTATTTTTAAGTCAAATCGAGTTTTGTTACAATAAATACAAAGGGTTTTCTGTGTTGTTTTTATTTTTAATTTTTTTAACAAATGATAAGAATTTTACAATTTTTATCTTTAAATATTAAAACACACTAAAAGAAACCAGAAATGTATGCATTTTGTAAAAATGAACTTTAGAATTAGATCTAATATAAATGCTACTTGGTTTTTATTTGATTTTATTATTTCATTTATTATTTATTTATTTACTTATTTTTTAAGCTTTGTGTGTGTGTGTGTGGGGGGGGGGGGGGGGGGTAGGGGTTGGTTGCACACAAATGGAGTACAACTTTCTTCGTGTCCTAAATCTTCTTCCAGGAAAATAATTTATACATAATTTATATTGCATCTTGGTCATAAAACTTCTTTAAGAGGGCATAGATCTAGAGTAAATAATAAATAAATAAATAGATCACTATTGCTTAACCATGTTAACCCGCTTTCCTCTTTACTCAAAAGAATTCGATTTATTTTATTACACACACAAGTTCGGGTACGAGGGTCATTCAAAGAGGCTTTTATCATGCATGAAATATAACCACATTTGGTAGACAAAATCCAATTAGCACGAAAGGGTTCCGACAATCAAGATTTTCGATCTAAGGGGAAAATTTGATAAAAAATAGACTTAGATTTAGAAAAGACAAGTTCAATCTGATTAAAATCAGATCCTTTGATCCGCTATAGCTCACAAAGATCGCTACACAAGGATCAGATCCTTGTGTAGCGATCTATGTGAGAGGATCTGATCCTTGTGTAGCGATCTATGTGAGCGGATCAAAGGATCTGATTTTCATCAGATTGAGACACGTCATATATGATGGAAAAATGTTTGAAATGATAATGTCACATCTCTGTGAAATAGTGCAATTTAACGGGAAAAAATTTCCTAATTAATGTTCAAAAAATGAATATTGTTTACATCATATGACGTTATGCATAAATTTATGTATGGTTTAATTGCAGAAGACAGGTACTTCTCATAGAAAAACAAAATGTGTTTGTGAAACACTGATGCCCCCGTATGGCAACTTAAAGCGAAGTTTAAACTTTCTCAAATGCAAATCAAATATGTTGGTACCGAAAGTATGGTCTTGTCCCGAGGAATATACCTGTGAAATATGAAAGTCCTAGCAGCAACCATTGGAAAAATTTGGAAAGGTTAAAGTTTTTCAAAAGTAAGTCAAACATCAAGGTCTATCGCCCGCCTGGAGCAGCGGTTAGAGCGTCTGCTCTAGAGAGTTGATCCTTACGTCGCAGGTTCGAATCCCAACATGGAGACCGAGGTTCCGTGTCGCAGTAGGTGCTGGCACGAAAAAGATCCCTCACTGCTCAATGGCCCTAAGTGCCGAGTATAGGTAAAAAAAAAACAAGAGGCCCATGGGCCACATCGCTCACCTGAGCACATTGGCTAGGAAAAAAAGCAAAAATCAGCACAGTATTGAAAAGTTTACAGGGAGGGGGGGGGGGTGTTGAATTTTAAACTACTTGATGATGCTTTCATATCAATATAACAAATGGCTTTGTTGTTCTTGAGCAGCAGATTTTTTCCCCATATATTCATTTGTAAAAATTTGATCCCCCATTGTGGCCCCACCCTACCCCCGGGGGCCCTCATTTGAACAAATTTCATTCTACACTACCCAAAGATGCCTCCATATCAATTTGACTAATCATGGCTTTTCTGTTCTTGAGAAAAAGACTTTTTCCTATATATTCCTCTGTAAACTTTGATCACCCATTGTGGCCCCAACCTATCCCCGGGGTAATGATTTGAACAAACTTGAATCTTCACTATCTGAGGATGCTTCCATATAAATATGACCAATCATGGCTTTACTGTTTTTAAGAAGAAGATTTTAGAGATATTTTCTTATATATTTCTATGTAAAACTTGGATCCCTCATTGTGGCCCCATCCTACCCCTGGGGGTTATGATTTGAACAAATTTGAATCTTCACTACCTGAGGATGCTTCCATATAAATATGACCAATCATGGCTTTACTGTTTTTAAGAAGAAGATTTTTAGAGATATTTTCTTATATATTTCTATGTAAAACTTGGATCCCTCATTGTGGCCCCATCCTACCCCTGGGGGTTATGATTTGAACAAATTTGAATCTTCACTACCTGAGGATGCTTCCATATAAATATGACCAATCATGGCTTTACTGTTTTTAAGAAGAAGATTTTTAGAGATATTTTCCTATATATTTCTATGTAAAACTTTGATCCCCCATTGTGGCCCCACCCTACCCCCGGGGGTCATGATTTGAACAAATTTGAATCTTCACTACCTGAGGATGCTTCCATATAAATATGACCAATCATGGCTTTACTGTTTTTAAGAAGAAGATTTTTAGAGATATTTTCCTATATATTTCTATGTAAAACTTGGATCCCCCATTGTAGCCCCACCCTACCCCCGGGGGTCATGATTTGAACAAACTTGAATCTACACTACTAGAGGACGTTTCCATATAAGTTTCATCTTTCCTGGCCCAGTGGTTCTTGAGAAGAAGATTTTTAAATGATGCCATTATTTTTTCACTAATTCCTAATTATCTCCCCTTGAAAGAGGGCGTAGCCCTTCATTTGAACAAACTTGAATCCCCTACACCCAAGGATACTCTGTGCCAAGTTTGGTTGAATCTGGCCTAGTAGTTCTGGAGAAGAAGTTGAAATTGTGAAAGTTTACACCAACGACGACGACAGACAACGGACAAATTTTGATCAGAAAAGCTCACTTGAGCCTTTGGCTCAGGTGAGCTAAAATGCAGCTCTCCACCGGCAAGTGGTGGCGTCTCCATATGAGTGAAAATTTCTCGAAAGGGACGTTGAACAACAAACAAACAAACGTCAAGGTCAATTGGTCAAAATTAATGATGCCCAAGAAAAGGCCTTCTCACAAGAAATACACATGTGAAATATGAAAGCCCTAGCACCAACCGATCAAAAGATATGGCCAAGGTTAAAGTTTTTCAAAAGCAGGTCAAACTCCAAGGTCAAAGGGTCAAAGTTGTTGGTATTCAAAGGAAGGTCTTGTCATAAGGATTACATATGTGAAGTATGAAAGCCCTAGCACCAACTGTTCAAAAGATATGGCCAAAGTTAATGTTTCCAAAAAGTAGGTCAAACTCCAAGGTCAAGGTCAAAGTTGTTGGTATCTAAAGGAAGGTCTTGTCATAAGGATTACATATATGAAGTATGAAAGCCTTAGCACCAACTGTTCAAAAGTTACGACCAGGGTGAAAGTTGAGTAAAATTTTGTTAAACTGGGTCAAACTCCAAGGTCAAAAGGTTATGATGGTACTCAAAGAAAGGTCTTTTTACAAGGAATACACTTGTGAAATATTAAAGCTATAGCTTCAACTAATCAAAAGTTATAAGCAATGTTAAAGATTTTTTGGACAAACAGATAAACAGACAGACGGACGGACAGGGCAAAAACTATACGCCTCCGAATCTTCGATACGGGGGCATAATAATAAAGGCAATTAAAGATTTGTGTTGCTGTCGGAAAAACTCTGCATGAAAGGGCTGGAGGAAGTAGAAAAACAAGATGTGTTCCAACAGCTCCAACTGTTCAAAAGTTATGGCGAAGGTTAAAGTTTTTTAAAGGTCAAATGGGGCCCAAGGGAAGGTCTTGTCACAAGTGATACACATGTTCATGAAATGTTAAAGCCCTAGAACTAAACTTTCACATGTTATGGCCAAGGTTAAAGTTTTTTAAAAGTAGGTCAAACTCCAAGGTCAAAGTCAATGCCAAAATCGTTGGTATCCAAAGGAAAGTCTTCTCCTAAGGAATGCACATGTCAAGTATGAAAGCCGTAGCACCAAATGTTTAAAAGGTATGGTCAAGATTAAAATTTTTCAAAACTCAAACTCAAAGGTCAAGGTCAAAGGGTCAAAGTTGTTGGTATCCAAAGGAAGGTCTTGTCACAAGGATTACATATGTGAAGTATGAAAGCCCTAGCACCAACTGTTCAAAAGATATGGCCAAGGTTATAGTTTTTCAAAAGTAGGTCAAACTCCAAGGTCAAAGTGTCAGAGTAGCTGGTATCCAAAGGAAAGTCTTGTCACAAGGAATACAAATGTGAAGTTTGAAACCCCAAGCACCAACTGTTCAAAAGTTATGGCCAAGGTTAAAGTATCATAAAAGTTTGCAAAAGTGGGTCAAACTCCAAGGTCAAGATCAAAAAGTCAAATATGACGGTACCCAAAGAAAGGTCTTGTCACAAGAAATACACATTGAAATATGAAAGTCATAGCTCCAACGAATCAAAAGTTATGGGCAAGGTTAAAGTTTTTGAGGACAAACAAACAGACAGACAGACGGACGGACAGGGCAATAACTATATACCCCCGAATCTTCGATACGGGGGCATAAAAAATCGAGCTTTTTTTTTTTTTTTTTTTTGTATATGGACAAAAGAGACGTCTGGAAAGTGATGGACACGCTGTTACGCGACACAAAATGAAGAAATAACGTTTTTAATGATTGGGGTAAGCGCTACTGACTGTGCACGTGCGTTAAGGGGTAGCAGTTGTGACGATAATTCATGTAAAGAACAAGAGTTCCATGCAATAATATTTATCAAATGCAGTTGCAGTGAAACTTCATTTACAAAATAAATGTTTTTACAATGTGTTGCTTTTGAATTTCTTAAAAATAATATGTCGACGAACTACGTTGATGTATTTAGCTAAAAAAAAAAAGGTCAGAGTATGGTATTCTGCTGATTTTAAGTTTCGATAAAAAAAAAGGTCCATACCGATAACGTCGTTCTATAGTGCCCCCCCCCCCCCCCGTGCTCGTTTCCAGTCGTTTTCTGATGGTTTCCAACTTTACTCAGTAGTGGTAGCAAATCCGCTTCTCGATGTGTCTCCCCATCCAAGTTGAACGCAGATAATCTCGACGGTGCCATAGCCAGCATGATGTTTCTCTCTGTCGCCTCCCCTAGTCTTCTCACTGTTTTCCTCGCTCACCCATATACCGAAGTCATTTGAACAGCTTCCAAATGGATTGTGTCGAGAACTTTTTGCAACTTAAACTTACCGGTAACAGGGAACAGCCAGACACTCCATTCTCGATCATGAGTTTTGTCACGCGAGGTCTGTATATCTGAGGCACTTCCTCACACTTTTTAAAACTCGGTACCATCAACTTATTTACCATTAGCATGTCTCAATTTAAAATTTGGTCCGACGTACATGTTCTTCCCTACTAAATTAGCCGGGAAAAATAAACACCATATGCAGGTGATAATGAGAAGCTGACGATGGAAAGCCGAAGTCATCCCTTTTGTCACATCATTTAGTTTAATTGCCACTGACGTCTATCGGCAATAGTAAAACAGCCAGATATGAAACATATTGAAAACACTGTGGTGTTTTTCTTTCATTTTTTTTTAAAACACTCTCTTCAGTACTAGTGTACTTGTACTTGTAAGTAGAATCAGAATGATCATAGGTACAGTTACTTTGCAGAGATCAATAACAAAATATGAAAAAATCCATCTTTATTGAAGAAGCAGTTGTCCGAGATGTCAAAAACCCCCAGCTGGTCTTGAGTTTATCGAGGAATTTTTGTATAAATCTTTGAAAAGTTGTACGATTGGATTTTTTGTTTCCAAATCTTCCAAAGTTTTTTTAATAGAAGCCACATCTGAATAGACCACTTCTTGAACAGCTGTTGAATATGCTGTAACAAAAATACGTCTGAAGTTTCTCCTCCACATGTACATATTGTACAACAGGCATTATTTTTTAGGAGTGCCTACAAGCAGATAAGGGCCACTTAATATTGGTAGAACATTTACTCCACGTTTACTGGGCCCTAAAATCAGGAAAATTTATCCTTGTTTGAAAGGATTTTCATAAAGTTGAGACCACGTGTACGGAACGCAGCTGGGGGTGGGGGTAGGGGGGGGGTCCCGTCCCCAACGTATTTTGGTAAAGGGGTACAGAGATGTGAATGTTCATAATATGTTTGTATCTAAAATATTCTACAAACTTGCATTTTTAAAAACATGTTAAATAAAAACCAAGATAAGGTATGTTCTTTGGTAAGACTGTTTACAAGTCTCTGGTTTGGTCCATCGCTTTTCTCCCTTCTTGAAAACATGGTCACTGCATATCTTAAAAAAAGGTGTTAATCGGATTAAAAAAAATATTGTATAATTTTTTTGAGACATCATTTTTAGTCAAACAAAACATTTGTCGAAATTTTCTCATAATGGCAAAGAGTTATCTCGCCTTGGTCGTTTGACTCTGATTGGTTACACAAGCACACACCTCTGACAAGTAAGGCCGTGAGCATGAAAACAAATCACCTACTGAAAGGTAAACTGTTATGACAAATGAATACAGACAATCAATACATTTATATGTAAAGAATTTTGCAACATTCATCAAGTTTTTGCTTGTAATCGAATTATTCTTGGTGGGAAAATCCACATGATCCAAAGACATATGAAACATATTGCAGGTCGAATTTCCTCGAAGCTTTTATTTATTTTTGGTACTGCTTATAGTTTATGAACTTCACCAGCAACCAATTAAATTACACCAAAAGTAGAAATCCTAGCAGCTCTGAAAACGTAGTGAAATTTGACAATATGACATCACAGAATTGAAGAAGTGAGCTGTTTGGTCCGGTCAAGGACCCAGTGCATTGAAAACAAATAACATCCAAAAATATGGTATCATTAACATTTTATAACAATTTTTATATACCTGTGATCTTAAAGCCAGCAGTAGAGAAGTTAATTCATTGAACATCATGATCAGAATTTATTTTGATTGAAATAAATAAAATAAGAAGTTGACTTTTTCTTTGGTTTCTGATGTTGATCGAGTTAAGAAGGGTAAAACATTTGGAAATCTGGTACAAATCTGGGATCGATATCAGTTTAAATTCCAGGGACAAAAATCATCATGGAAGTTAATTCTTAGAAAAAAAGAAGTTATAATTGACTGCAAGAATATATAATCAATTTTTTTTAAAATAAGATTTTGAATTCAAAGTTTTAAGTAGTTTATTCCCAAAATAGGAGGATTTTAACACCTCCCTTACACATGAAAACATTCCTGGATTTATACTAGCTGTTATGTTTTGTTTATTTAATTATGTTATTTAGAGAGAGGAATGTTTTTTAGTATAAGCATCTGACTTAAGGCAAAAAGCTCCAAATTCAAAGTAGAAAACATCTTATTAGAAAATTGCAACAAGATCTATGACATATACATTAGATTACTTTACAGGAAAAATGAAGGTTTCCTCTAGCTGTACACAGCACTTGATTTTGCCAAAGGACACAACTTAAATAAGAGCATATGAAAGTGTGTCAGTCATATTGTGATATTAAACTTCTAAAATACTAGTGCTAAATACAGATATGTATACTTATTTCAGTGTGGAGGACGGTATTTCTGCAGGGGAGGGCAGGTGCTGCTACCTTAGCCCAGGTCAGAACCGATCTAGAGAAAGAGCTGGAAGGGATCAAAGAGGCCGGGACCTGGAAAGGGGAGAGAATCATTACCTCCAAACAGGGACCAAGTATTCATGTGAAAGGAACCACAAAAGACATTCTTAACTTTTGTGCTAACAACTACCTGGGACTTTCAGTCAGTTTCTTCGTGGTTTTCTGAGAAACACTTTACTTGTTTGATTATTTATCATTACCTGTAATAGGTTACCATTAATTCATTATGTAACCAGAGTCATAAGTAAAAATAATAAATTAGTAAGATTTGAATTTAATATTACCCCTGAAAATTCAATTTTCAGAGTCACCCTGAAGTTATTGAGGCTGGAAAGAAAGCTTTGGACACACATGGAGCAGGACTGAGTTCTGTCCGATTTATCTGCGGCACCATTGTAAAGTTTTTTTTAATTCCATTTGCAAGTGTTGCTTAAAGTACACTTGCTATATGAATTATTCATCATAAAAAAGACAATTATAGAAAAATAGAGAAGTTAGGGTCATCCAGTAAAAGGTCAAGTTCATTTGAATTGGCATAATATGTTTGTGTCAAAGATTAGCTTTCTCTTAAGAATGAGTTTAATTTTTGAGAATTCATGAGGACATGAACTGATCATGAAAAAAAAGTTTGCATTATTTTTTGACTTCAGTTAGATTACAATGGAAATATTCTCACTCATCCCATGGTAGTTCATGAGAACTTGAACTTTTTCTTATTTGCAAAGAATCTTATAATAAGGAAAAATATTTGGAAATGTAAATTTATTATCATTAAAGATATTGAATATACTGTAAAGTGGAATTCTTGTAGTGGTTTTAATTTCACTATGTTCGCTATCAAAGAATTTTCAGTGAACATTAAGCCGTATTGAATATTCTCGACATGTCAGTGTAGCATCCATATATCAAAAACATGCTCTACACTTTATAAAACCCATTTTCCAACTGTTATAGTAAAAATGTAAATCATTAAAAATCATTTGGAAACCCTATTTTAATAACAATGGCTTTTAAAAGCTGGTTAATGGATATGTTTATCAAAATAATTTACAATAGCTTTCTTTCTTTTAATTAAAAAAATATCTTTTTAAAATTGCAAATATTAGCAATGAGAAATTCTGATACTGTGAAATTAAAACCAATGTGAAATGTACCGTAGAGATAATCATGAAATATGGAATTAAAGACGTTTACAGTATTCAGTCAGGTGTCTGTGTTTTATACTATTGTGTTCTTTTGTGATTTCAGGATCTGCATAAAGAATTGGAAGAGAAGATTGCCAAGTTCCATGGAAAGGAAGATTCTATTTTGTATGCCAGCTGCTTTGATGCCAACGCTGGCCTGTTTGAGGTTCTACTGGGGCCAGAGGATGCCGTGATATCAGACGAACTTAACCACGCCTCCATCATTGATGGGATTAGACTGTGTAAAGTGAAGAGACATCGTTACCAGCACAGAAATATGGCAGGTACATAAAAACACTTAAGAAGAAGAGTATTTAGTCTCAATTTGTTTAACATTCTGTTGAGGTCAAAGAAATAAGGCATCAACAAATCTGTTCATAACAGCTAGCTAGAGCATAGGTATTTTAATTCAGCATTTGTCATCCTCTTCTCTGATAGTAGGGCACTGATTTGAGTTTTATATACCGGTAAAGCCATAATAAAAAAAATTCCTAGATTCTCATCCCCACCCGCCCCGATTTTTTACCCCCGCCTCATTTTTTTTTATTTCTGATTTTCTTTGTCTTAATTCTGATCGGGATCGGTAATCAACTACCATTCAAATTTCATTTTTAATCCTGCAAATGTTGGCATGATTTTGACAGCTGATAAGATGATTACTGCCGTAATATGTATTAAACAGGATCATTGGTTGTGAAAGATTGGCGATGATGTGTTGTAAGAGATATGCATATTTTAATGAACCTCTACTGTGATTTTATTCGTGTATTATTGATATATCTGCACCGATTGATCTGGTCAACAAAAAAACTGCATAATGGAAAAAATAAAAAATATGAAATAAAATTCGCCCGCCCGGCTCGATTTTTCAAAAAATTCAGATGAGAATCTTGGTATTTTTTTTTTTATTATGGCCTAACAGCAATTCAGTATTTGAAATTTTATGTTTTAAAGCTCCCTACAAATTTGAAACATATCGAGCAAGAACTAAAGTTTGTATTACTAGACTTGTTGATGGTTCCAGTAAGATATGGTACATAGAGTAATATATCATTTTCTGTGCCAAAACTGAAATATGAAAAACAGGATGTGTTTGTGAAACACTGATGCCCCCGTATGGCAGCTTAAGATGAAGGTTAAAATTTCTCAAATGCAAGTCAAACTCCAAGGTCAAGAGACAAAAAATGTTGTTATCGAAAGAAAGGACTTGTGTCAGTGGATATACCTGGTAAATTTGAAAGCCCAAACACCAACCATTCAAAAGTTATCCTCAAGGTTAATGTTTTCTAGAAGTGGGTCAGACTCCAAGGTCAAAGGGTCAGAATTAATGGTGTGCAGGGGAAGACCTTGTCATAAGAAAAACACATGCAAAATATAAAAACCTTAGCACCAACTGTTCAAAAGTTATTGCAAAAGTCAAAGTTTTTCATAAGTAGAACAAACTCAAAGGTCTAGGTCAAAAGGCTAAAATTGTTGGTATCCAAAGAAAGGTCTTGTCACAAGGAATATACCAGACCTGTGAAATTTGAATGCCCTAGTGCTAATTGTTCAAAAGTTATGGCCAAGGTTAAAGTTGGGTAAATTTTTGAAAAAGTGGGTCAAACTCCAAGGTCAAGAGGTCAAATATGCTGGTACCCAAAGGAAGGTCTTGTCACATGGAATACTCATGTGAAATTTGAATGCCCTAGTGCTAACTGTTCAAAAGTTATGGCCAAGGTTAAAGTTGGGTAAATTTTTGAAAAAGTGGGTCAAACTCCAAGGTCAAGAGGTCAAATATGCTGGTACCCAAAGGAAGATCTTGTCACATGGAATACTCATGTAAAATATGAAAGCCATACTGGTAAATGTAGCTCCAACCAATCAAAAGTTATGGGCAATGTCAATGTTTTTTTTCGACAAACAGACAGACAGACGGACAGGGCAAAAACTATATACCCCCAAATCTTCAATTATGGGGGCATAAAAATGTTACCTCTACTGCATATAGAAAGAGAATCTTATATAGAGGGAAAGTGTATGTTGTCTACCCATCCCTTTGTTTGTTTACAATTTTCCAAAATGTTTGTCTTCCTACAATATTTATCTGTATTTGAAAAAAAAAATAATTGTACATAATATTAGACTACATCAAGATGTATCATTCTATTCATTGGTTTTCAATTTGGATAAATGAAGCTTCTGTGGTAACTAACAATGGAGTATTATATCATTTTTTTTTTTTCAAAATGGTGCTCATTTTTCAGTTTTAATATGATTTCATTAGAACATGGTACACTGAGACTAATTGAAGATAATTCGTTCTATATAATCAAGTTAACTGATTTTTATGCCCCCGTAATCGAAGATTCGGGGGCATATAGTTTTTGTCCTGTCCGTCTGTCTGTCAGTCTGTTTATCTGTTTTTCTGCAAAAACATTAACGTGGACATAACTTTTGATTGGTTGGACCTATGGCTTTCATATTTCACATTGGTGTTCCTTGTGAAAGACCTTTCTTTTGGTACCAACATATTTGACCTTTTGACCTTGGAGTTTGACCCACTTTTGCAAAATTTTACCACACTTTAACCTTGGCTATAACTTTTGAATGTTGGTGATAGGGCTTTCATACTTCAAATGTGTATTCCTTGTGATAAGACTTTCCTTGGATACAAACATTTTTGACATCTTGACCTTGACCTTTTAGTTTGACTTACTTTTGAAAAACTTTAACCTTGGCCATAACTTTTGAATGGCTGGTACTAGGGCTTTCATATTTCTCATATGTATTCCTTGTGACAAGACCTCTCCTTGGGTATCAACAATTTTGACCCTTTAACCTTTGAGTTTGACCTACTTTTGAAAAACTTTAACCTTGGCCATAACTTTTGAATGTTTGGTACTAGGGTTTTCATTTTTCGCAAGTGTATTCCTTGTGATAAGACTTTCCCTTGAGTACCAACAATTCTGACCTTGACCTTTGAGTATGTCCTACTTTTGAAAAACTTTAACCTTGGCCATAACTTGTGAATGGTTTGTACTAGGGCTTTCATATTTCACATGTATATTTTTTGTGATGAGACCTTTCCTTGGATACAAACATCTTTGACTTTTTGACCTTGACCTTTGAGTTTGACCTACTTTTGAAAAACTTCAACCTTGGCTATAACTTTTGAACAGTTGGTGCTAGGGCTTTCATATTTCACATGTGTTTTCCTTGTGGCATGAACTTCCCTTGGGTATCAACAATTTTGATTTGTTTACCTTGACCTTTGAGTTTGAATTGCATTTGAGAAACTTTTAATTTTCACCATGAGCTGCCATTCTGGGGCATAAGTGTTTCACAAACACATCTTGTTTGATTTTGAATAATGGTTAAATACATAATGATTGGTTGGATTCTGTCAAAGTGCCACATGTACTCCATTTAAAGTTTTGATCTCATTTAAAAGAAAATGTATACAGGAAGACATCAAGATACATAATTCTGTTTTTTTTTTTTTTAGATTTTTGATTTTGGTGAATGACACTACATGTATTATGCTTTGTCTCTACAAATGAAACAATCTGTTAAATTCTTTTAAAATGCTATTTCTCTTACCATCTTACCATTTTGATTTCAATAAAACTTTCAGAGTGTATTTAGATGAATTATGCTTAAATGAATAATCTGTTAACCTCTTTCAAAATGTGACTCCTATTTTTATCTGGTTACATAATTCTGTAAATGTAAAACTCATACTCTCCCCCCCCCCCCCCCCCTACAAAAAAGTCCAAATGCAACTATTAAACTGCTATTAGTTTAAATTAAAGCCAAAGTGTGATAAGAGGCTCCTGATTTTCTCTCTCTCTCTCTCTCTTTTAGAGAATTACAGCATGCCAAGTCATCAAACTTGGAACCCCATTTCCTCTCAAAAATGTGAATAGGCATTACCTTATCTGAGTGATTGCTTGCAATTTAATATTTTGATTTTGTGAGCACCAAGGGCAGCCTATTGAAGTCTCCTCTGCAGCACATTGTATTTTCTGTTGATTCCTTGAATGACTATGAAAAACGAAAGCTGGAAATCATGAATTCACAGCATGAAAATTGAAGTGTTCTGATATTTCAAATGATAAATTTTCTACAATTCACAAAAAAATCAATGATGGAGACAAAGGTAAAACAATAAACACAGATCTTTGCAAATTTTCCAATTCTCTAGAAAATCTGCTGAGGAAGGTGGCTGTAGTTCAGAATAATTCTTCTAATAAAATTTAATTAAGACAATAATTTTATGCTCCCTAAAGTAGTTTGCTTTGGTTAATTCAAGGCCTAAGGGTTCCAGCTAATAATTTAGAAGCAGAGTCATCTCGGTGAATTAAAGTTATTTCATCTATATTCACAATAGAAAATGTCAAATTTCACAATTTGTCTCTCTGAGTGTTACGGTACTCATGTGCTTTAGGGAAGCAATCAAGAGCCATGATCATTAATAAGATCAGAGACATGATTATCCCCCCTGTGTAGCCAATATAAGCAGAGGAATGTCGGGGGTCCTCGGCACAGGTCAGCTTTCTTACCGTCGCGGAGAGAGTAGATGTGTCAACAGACAGGTTTTGTTTGATGTTTTTCACTTTGATTTCAATGTCATTTGTTCCGTAGTTTGTATAACAGACCTCTACACATGGACACTGAGTTTCGCCATTGCCCATAGAGACAGTTCTGTGGGCAGCTGAGGAAACTGAGGTCGGTAATTCACCTGTTGTTGATAGGGCCTCAGTATCACTGTTTGTTGTTGATAAGGCCTCGGTTTGACTGATTGTTGTTGATAAAGCCTCAGTTTCAATTTCTGTCATGATTACAGTTGTGGGGGAAGCAGATTCAGTTGTCAAGGAGGAACAGTCTATTGGTGTGCTTGAAATACGAACAGACATCTTGCATACAGTATAACTGCCATTGTTACAACTTTTAACTACAGGTGATGGGCTGACTCCATTAGCTATGTAACATGTTTTGGGGTTACTTCCAGCATCCAGCCAGAAATCTTTAGATCTTGCCAAGTTGATAACAAAAGCCCTTTCCTCTAGATCAGTGGGCATAACAAGAGAAGATTCATATTTGTTTCCAGAACAGATGGTGTATGAAACAAGATAGCTGTCATTTTGTAATTCAACCCAGTAACATCCAATATGTTTGGTTCCATAACAGAATTCTACCCAGTCCTGGGGACAATTTCCAGCTAAGCATACACCAAAACAACACAGAAAAATTCCCAAAAATCCATTCATTGTCTTTGACTCATGCTGATCTGTATTTCAAATGTTTGCTTGAAAGATCGCACAGAGATAGTGATAGCACAGCTGCAAATGGTCTTTTGGTCAGAAAAGTCAATAAAGATGGAGATTTGTATAGAAAGAAACATTGAGTCCATGAGAGGCAGGAAGCATGGGAAAAGAATGCTCCTTGTTTAGTCTTAATCCACAAAAAATACAGAAAGGAAAATCAATTTATAAGGCTGCTATGATATATTACTAGTAATGGATTTCTGTTTGGTTTGCCTGTCAAGTGTTTATAAATGATGATTTTTTTAAAAGGCTGATTTAAGAGGACACATTAAATGAATGGTAAGTTTTATGGGAAAAGTTGTACAGTATTGTTCCATTAAGAGATTTCGAAAAAAAAAAAAGAAGAAAAAAAATTAGAAGGAAAATAAATATTTAACTTGATTTTCCTAAATGTACTTTATATTTAAGAGAGGAACACAGAAAATGACATCTTCAACAGTTAATAGCAATGAATAAACATCAATATAGTGAAGTTACCATGGTGATGATAGAGTTGAAGAGTCTTTATTTAGAGAAGACTCCTGAAAACTGAGGTATAATTACATGTACTGTGAAATAACTAATTATGTGGGGGGTTAGTTTACATTTATTTTTTAAAAGTCCCACAAATTTATGTCCACCATGAAATGCTAAAATTTTGTCCTTCAAACAGAAAATCAAAACCCAAGGAACCAATACTTTTTGTTTGTTGTTTAACATCCCTCTTGAGAATTTTTCACTCATTTGCGATTTTTTTGGAATTGGCATTGTATGTCTTGAATACACTTTAAGTGTGGTGTGACCATTTTCAAAGTAATGCTTGTAGCATTGTTTACATAGCATATATTAATCCCATTTAGAAAAGAGAATATCTACAGAACAGTTGAACTTTCATATCTTGAACACGGATATCTCAAATACCATGAATATCTCAAGGTCATTTGAAAGTCCCAACTACTTTTTCTTTGTGTATTTTAACCTCAGTATCTCCAATGCCCATATTTCAAAGTTTTTTCTTGGTCACATCAAATTCAAGACAACGAGTTTGACTTTATAAGAATGTCTGAAACTTTTTACATTTTAAAGTTTGGAAACTTTGTTGTACAAGTTTTAATCAGTTCAGTTAATCAGGGAAGCCATTCACAGGTGTCTCTCATGATTGTTTGAAATGTCTTTTATTTGATAACTTAATTATCCTAAAAATGAATACAAAATTAATTTAGTACACAAACCCAGCTAATGCTACAACAGAGCAATAACATAAAGGCTAAGCTATTTGTTCTTGAAAATACTAAATTTCCACCTATGAAACCTCATATGCTTTCTGACTCCAAGATCTGACCTTATTTATTGAATCATAGATACTAGCTGTTATGAAGTCTTCTATCAGTTGAATCATAGATACTACATGTAGCTGTTATGAAGTCTTCTATCAATTGAATCATAGATACTAGCTGTTAAGAAGTCTTCTATCAGTTGCTTTTGAGTTGACAAATGCTGCATAAGAAGCACCTTATGTCAAGAAATGAAGAGTTTGTAGCATTTGGCCTTAAATTCATTAGGTTTTAGCTTTTTCAAAAAATGCATTTTTTACACATAATGGTAAATCTTCCTCACCAAGCCCTGTACCATTATCCACAAGGAAGCCAATTTTTGCCTCATTGACATCTCTTCATTTACTCTTTACATTGTATCAACCAAGGCATCAAATGTTAATGCAAATGTATTAGATTTGCATTTTATGCATTAATGTGAAATCAATTTTGAAAGCATTTATATACATCAACTGTCCAATCATATCGAAAGTTCCAAATGGAAATCAAGCTGGTTTGATCAATAGTGTCCTGTAATTTGAATATGGGGGTCAAAGATTTATTGAAACTTAATTTAACAATTGTATGCAGCAGCCATTTTGAAATTTTTTTTACCAACAGTGAGCACAATTCAGGAATAACTAAATCCATGCAAGTGGCAGACATTAAATGTGCATCATCCATTTTCAATTCAAGCTCTGTACTAGTTGAATACCAGAAGCATATAGATAGGTAGTGTCTGTCTGTGTCACTTTGTCTGTACAATACAAGTTTTTACTGTTGAAGCCCAGAAGAGTGTTTGTTTGTATGTCTGTCATCAATTTTACATCCCTAAAATAAAAAAAAAAGCTAGGGCATTCTACATTTGCTCTGTCCATTATGATAAAACTTTTTGTCCATTTCACTCTGGAACCACCAAAAAGTTACAAAGTTAACTTAAGTTCTTGCTTGATATCTTTCAAATTTCCAGGGAGCTTTAAGACATAAAATTTTGTATGATGTATTGTAAAACCTTGAAATTTAAGTCTGTCGTGACCTACCAGGGTTTTTTTTAGGGCCTGGGCCTTTCCATTGGGAAAAAATAGCGTCATTTAGTTAAAATAGGAAAAAAATATCATAATTCACATTTTTCGAGATAAATTCAAATAGGAGCCATTTTTTGATTTGCAAAGCATTTATTGACTAATTTACATACAATAAATCTTTATTGAATATCAGCTTAACTGAATTGTTTGCTGTTCTGAAGTTTTATTTAATTTAAGTTTAATTTTTTTCTATTATATTTAGAATAACATTAATGTCATGTTTCGAATTGTCTTTTGGGAATTTTCTTCAATGAAATTGGGAAAAACACACATTTTTTACCATTGGGAATGGGGCCTATTACAGGCCCCCTACAACCCCTAAAAAAACCCTGCCTACTATCAGAGAAGAGGATGACAAATGCTGAATAAAGAGAGATTGAATAAATTATATTCAGGGATGTTTACAAGTCATATATTTATTGTATCCAGTTTGATTGTACTGTAGATCTAGAAGACCAGTTAATTGCTGCTAAAGACTGCAAGAAGAAGCTAATAGCTACAGATGGGGTGTTCAGCATGGACGGAAATGTAGCTCCACTGCCGTTAGTGTCACTTACTATACTTGCACTTAGAAATGTACTTTCTTTGTTTGAGTATTTGAACATTTAGAAATTAATTAAAAATCAGATATATTTTTAAAAAAAACATTTGAACTGTAAGCAGGGATGGGGTAATTGAAATGAGTAATTGTAATTTACTGTATTTGAATACAATTTTTCAAAGTAATTGAAAGTATTTGTAATTGAGTTTGCTTTCAATTACAAGTAATTACAAGTAATTGAATGTATTTAAATACATTCCAAAAATGTCATGTATTTTTCAATTACATTTCAAATACTTTATTTTTCAAGTTACATATTAAAAAAAGGTGTTTTACCATGAAGCATACCAGTACTGTTTGGCATGAGTTTGTGTTTATTCGATAATTGAATGTACAGCTTAAATACACTGCCCATGGCAATAGGAAAGGTCAAATTTAATAATATTGCTGCTTCAAAATATTCATGTATTTGTTCTTCAAATTGTTTGGAAATAAAACAAAAGTAATTGATATGTATTTAATTACATTCTTCAAAGTAATTGAGAGTAATTAATTACATTTGTTAAAATTGATGTAATTGTAATTGCAAGTAATTGACAAAATTATCAATGTATTTGAAAGTATTTAATTACATTTCAAAGTAATTGACCCCAACCCTGACTATAGGTAGAATTTTAAAAAAGAACACAATGTTAGAGCTTTGGTATTTTATTTAATATTATTGTTTAAACACCATCAAAATTCAAAATGTGAAAAATTAAACTGTATAGACCTACTTTTTTCTGTATGGGATTAATTTAGCAATATGTACATGGTTAAAACATCAAAGCATATTGATCTGCCTGAAGTTACATTTCAATTTTTTACAATTTGAAGTCATTTTTTAAAGGCAGTCATCTTTTTTTCTTACACTAAATGAATGAAAATTAAATTATAAGGAATAAATTTAATAGCTACCCAATTTATATGGTATAAACTGGGTTGGGGCAGTTTACGCTTAAAAAAGCGAAAACTGTTCCAACCTAGTTTATACGTACAAACTTGGTAGCTATTAAATTCATTCCTTAAGTGAAATTGTTCACCCCTGGCACTTCATTATAAACATGTTTTACCTTATGTCCATAATTCATCTTTGATTATACATTAAAAATACAAGAACCAATTTTTTTTACAATTAATTTTCATTTTTTCTCACAGAGATATATGTAACCTGGCTGATAAATACAATGCCATGGTTTTTATTGATGAATGTCATGGGACTGGATTTTTTGGACCAACTGGAAGGTAAGGGAAGACATTCTTTTCTTGTCTCTTGCAGGCAAAAAGTCCCATTTTGTGAAGTAAGATACAGTCAAACCTTGTTATCTCAAACTCAAAGGGACAGAGAAAAAAATTTGAGATATCCAGGGATTTGAGATATCAAGGGTAAAATACTTAAACAATAAGTCGTTGGGACTTGCAGATTACTTCGACATATCCATTGTATTCGAGATATCAGTGTTCGAGATAATGAAGTTCAACTGAATTTCAATCATGCCAAGTGTTTCCATAGAGAATAGGAACCCACCAACAAATCTGACGAAATGGTGGAATGAAGAGCTTTGTTATTTCTTAAGTTAATTCAATATAAGTAATAAATTTCTAATATTTTCAACAGAGGTACTGATGAACATTTTGGGGTCAGTGATAGAATAGACATCGTTAATTCTACCCTGGGCAAGGCTCTAGGGGGAGCTGCTGGTTAGTATGAGTCACTAAGTCATTGTCATTTAGGTTTCTTAATCATTATAAAGTTTTATGAAATTTTATATTCAAACATAATGAATAATAATATGTAGTACAATGTGTATTGAAATCTGTCTTGTTTTGTGTATATTAGGTGGTTACACTGCTGGTCCTAAGGAACTTACTTCATTGTTACGTCAGAGGTCACGACCTTATTTGTTCTCCAATGCCCTTCCTCCGCCAGTCGTTGCTTGTGCCAGTAAGGTAAAATATGGCTTACATTGACTTTGTAGTAATGTTGTTAAATTTTTTGAAACTGGAACACACACTTTCTTCCAGTCATATCATAATGATTATAAATTCAAAGAGGTCTAATTTTTGGATTGGCATGCTCAAAAACATTTCCAATTTTTTTTTGTGATTTTTATAACTAATTCTGGCTATGTTTGAGTTGAAATGAGTGTTCTTCCCGACATTGTCAACACAACATCAAATAACGATGAATGAGAAACACCAAGATAAATTATTTGTGAATGTACCACAAATTGTTACAAAGAAGTTCCATAACCAGTGCAACTTAGTAAAGGGTTTTTCTCACACTCTGGTTCCTTAATTTATCAAATTTCAAGAGACCCGAGGCTTGCTTACGAGCACTGCATGGTTATTGGACCTGTTTCTTACATTATACAAACATGGACTTGTGTGTTTTGGTGAAATAAATATGGCACTGAAGAATTTGTCTTTCTCCTTAGTATGTACATCCTTGGTTATAATATTACCTTAATGATCTGTTGAAATGAAATATACAAGGGAAAAGTTCAGAGAATGAAAATTAGTAAAAGATGTTTACAAACATACACTGTGCCTACATTTTATGCCATCATAGGCATAAATTTGGAGAATAAATCCTGGAAAAGCAACCAGTTAGTATCATTTTAGGGAGCGATGAAACACAGTTGGTAATATGAGAAAAGTAAGTAAATCTCTGAAACAGTTTCACTGATCAACAGCTTGAGGCTAGATCAAAGTTCTTGAACATACTATGAACATTCACAAAAGTTAAGCATTTGGATGTGACTTGCTAAGAATACATGTACTATATAAATATATAACATATACATGTATAACAGTATTTTTATGCCCCTGTAATCAAAGATCCGTCTGTCTACCTTTGTCCGCTAACACTTTTAACATTGCCCTTAACTTTTGATTGGTTGGAGCTATGGTTTTTCATATTTCACATGTGTATTTATTGTGACAAGACCTTTCCTTGGGTACCAACACATTTTTTACCTCTTAAAACCTAGGAGTTTGACCCACTTTTGCAAATTTTTTCCAAACTTTAACCTTGGTCATAAATTTTGAACAGTTGGTTTACTTCACATGTGTATTTCTTGTGACAAGACCTTCCATTGGGTACCAACAATTTTGACCCTTTGATCTTGAACTTGGAGTTCAACCTACTTTTGAAAAACTTTAACCTTGGTCATAACTTTTGAATAATTGGTGCTAGGGTTGTCATATTTCATATGTGAATTCCTTGTAACAACTACTTCCCTTGTGTTCCAATAATTTTGACCCTTTTACGTTGACTTTGGCATTTGACCTACTTTAGAAAAACTTTAACCTTGACCATAGCTTTTGAGTGGTTGGTGCTAGAGCTTTCATATTTCACATGTGTATTTCTTGTGACAAGACCTTCAATTGGATACCACAGGTTTTTTTTCTTTTTATCGTTGACCTTGGAGATTGAGCTACTTTTGAAAAACTTTAACTTTGGCAACAACTTTTAAATGGTTGGTGCTAGGGCTTTCATGTTTTATGTGTATATTCCTTGTGACAAGAAACTTCAGTCTTTGCCATAGGCTGCCATAAGGGTTATCAGTGTTTTACAAACACATCTTGTTTCAAATTAAACATTCCAATTTCTTTTTTAATTAATACAAGGACAAACTTGCTTGGAGGTACATTCAATCTCAATATCGGTGTAGGTAGTACATTGTATAATTAACCTTGAGATACTATATATGTACAAGTGGATGAATTGAAAACTGGGCAAAATTAAGAAAGACAGCATCAACTATTTGACACAACTGTGTCAAACACAAGTGAATTTAAAATGGGGCAAAATTGTAAGCTTAAAGGGTGAAAATATCCTATACATAGTATACTGTGTAATCACTAATTACGGGGGGGGGGGGGGGAATTTTTCGAGGTATGATGAGATTCACATATTGTAAATTTTCAAATATATAGCAATTCAACACTTCTTCATCCACGAAATCATAACTCCAAGAACCATTTTTTTTCCCACAAACCAAGAAAATTTGACCCCACAAATATATATGTGATTTTACAGTATTTACTGGCTACTCCACTGCCTATTAGTACTTTGATTTTTTTAGTCATTCTATTCACATCATTGAGCAGACTAGAAAATGCAAGTGTTCTGCAAAAATAAAAGATAAATGTTATTAACACCCAAATATTATTCCTGAATTAAAGAGTGAAATAAAAACAAAATGTGAACCAGTATTTCAATTTCACCTGAAACTTTTCCATGCTACAATTCAGTGATAAAGATTTCCTTCACTGAAAATAATTCAAAATCTGAAACTTGTTTTTTGGTTTTCATTCAGGAGATATATTGAGGTGTTTATTGGCATTTTAGAAGAGAAAACTTCGATTTGACTTTAATTCCAGCAGCACAGGAATAAATTTCTTTCAAAAGGACTATGATGGTTATTTTGAAAAATCTCCCTACATTATTATTTCTTTACAATAAAATTTATTGTATATTGAAAAGAGATGTATGTTTATTTAGTTTTTCTCTATGAATTTGATCTTAATTTTCAGACGTAATTTGTATTGGACCATTTTTTAAAATTCAATGTTCCTTTTGAATACAGCATCATTATTCTTCAATACAAATAGATATGTCAAATTTTATTTGATATGACATACCAGTGTCGAAGTTCACATGTAACACACATTCGTCCCATATAACTCGGTACGGACCAGACTTGAATAATTTAATTAAATACATGTGAGTTGCTGAATGTGGTATTTACATTAAAGTACTATTGTACTTATTTAGTACACATATTGTACAAAAATACACATTGTACAGAAATTTAAAAAAATTCTTAATTTAGCGTTGAGCTTGTTTTAGATATAATGGATTTTTCTACTGCGTAGTTTCAAAGGTATACGCTCCGAATGTTTCAAAGTAGATAATTCTTTCACAGTACACTTGACCTTAACTAACATTAAATCATGAGTATTTAGAAGAAAGAAAGCAATAAAATTATATTTTAATGAGTTTTTTTTACGCAGTTACGCATGTTTTGTGATTATATGATCTGATCATGACAGGAAGCTGTGCATACACGTTAAGTCAGTTTTAAACGTACATGTATAAATCTAATGTATATTTAAAAAGATTATCCACACTGTATTACAATACATCGTCACAATATATTTCCTGCGGAGAGAAAACAGAAGGGGGTGTTCTGGAACTCCTAGTTTTTACTGGTAGCGCATAGTTTCCAAAGTGCACAATTTGTTTTAAAATATTGCCTATCCCCAAAATTGACGACTTACTATTGACATACTATATAAGCAATTTCATTGAGACGATAGATTTCGTGATGACTGGTAATTTTATTAACACCCCCCCCCCCCTCAATCGTAGAGAATGCGAGGAGCTTATTACATGGACACTGATAATTACAAGTTTATGTCATTTAAATTGGTGATACATTTACTAGTATATTGTCCGCATGACAAATATATACAGGTATAGATTCAAGTTTAACATTTCCAGCCTCACTAACACAATACTAGGGCTGTGTATTGAGCAAAAAAAAAAAAAAAAATGATACGATACAATACGATATTTTATAATGCGATATATTGGATTCCTTAACAAGTCAATCAGAAAAGTCTTATATATCATTTAATGCATGAATTTTATAAAAACTAATTGTTTTGCAACTCATTTTAAAGCTCTTGTCTCACTTTCATAACAAATTACGCTTCAAATTCAAACTTTTAACGACTGTAAAATCAGCATGTTAAATAAAGTTATCTATGAAAAACTGCCTGCCCGATACGTATTGGAAGTTATTTTTTCGTTACGATACATTATTGAATATCGATACGTATCGATATATTGATACAGCCCTACACAATACCCAGTATGTCTTGGACAGCGAGAGGATTCGTTGAGGAAAAGTAAATTCGGTTTAATTGGGTTGTGCGTGGAACAGTCGCATTTTTTAAAAAAAAAAAAAAAAAACCCAACCAAACGATACCATCCAATGATGTTGGAAATTTGAAAACGGCAAGTGCATGATTGTTTTTTGGTTGAACAAAATATTTCTAGTTTGGGACCCCTTTCCCCTCACTAAAACACAGAAAGAAAAAAAAACTAAAGGGGAAAAAAGAGCAATAACTGCTCATTAGTAGTGAATGGGACAATTTATTGTTATTGTATGTTCATCTTAATAGATTTTCATAAATAACTAATTCTTTCCAAAAAAAAAAAATGTTCTCAAAAACTCAAACCATGCAGTGTTAATCTGACGACAGTAAAACCACAAAAAACGTATTCTCATTATTTAGCGAATCACGTTTTCCAAAATACACGTGATTTCCGAAACGGGTTTCTTATTTCATTTACATAAATTTTTGAAAAGAAATTAATCTTTTTTTAATTTATTCTAAAAAATTGCAGTACTGGGAATACTATTTATAGCAACGTATACGAAAAAATGCCTGTGAACTCTCATGCAAAATATATGTGTTTGATATATATGTTCTTTCTGAATTTGCAATACATAGCGATTTAATATTAACAGTGATTAATGTGTTTGTAACCTGAAGTTCGATATGTTGCGTGTTCCCTAAATGACGCTAAGTAACGCACTTAAAAAACTTAAAAGCATTTTTCAATGGTTTCATTTTTCTTTTAAATTGAACATTAATGAATTTAAATGAAGTGTCCGCTAATTTTAAATCAAGTGTCATAATGCATATTTTTTGTTACCAATTTGTCGTTCGATCTTGTTTATACAAGCATTCCATCGTTCGACAATCCTTCGATTGTCACAATTATTATTATACATGTTCAAATACACATTAACGAAATACAAGAGGTGGTTAATTAAAAAAAAAATTATACGCAAATTCTAGGTGACTCATTTAATTAAGATGAAATTATTTTATAGTGGCACAGTTTTACATGACCCCAAAAATTCGTT